GGTTTTGTTTTTTTACATAGTTTGTCATTATTTATGCCAGCAGTGTCAGAACCCGGGCCTCTTAGCTTGGGCAACAAACTGCCCGTTCCACTTCACTTCTGTCCTGCTCCCCAGTCGCTCTGTTCTGGTCAGCTGCATTTCCCACATTCTCATGAGCTGCCACAGCACAGCACGCTGCAGAAAACATTTGTTAAGCTGCTTCTTTTGGAAGACGCACGGTTGGATCCCGAAGAAGGGCAGTGGTGCGGCTGCACCCACCTTTTGGACTGGACGGTGCGCATCACTGCCATCACTGTCCCCAGATAAGCCCAGCCCCTCCGCAGCTGGGCTGGAGTGGGCAGAAGCAGCTTTGAAACTTCCCTCTTCCCTGGGACAGCCAGGAAAGCAGCAGCAGCAGGTAGGGAAGTGGGGGAAGTGGAGGGGACGGGGAGTGACTTTTCTTATGCATTTTAGCTACTTTAACAACGTTCCTAGAGGCTCCTGTAGTACAGTCTGCCTGCAGTGGGTTGGCAAAGGCGGTTGGGAGAGGGCTGCAGCCATCCCTGCAGCATGGCTGGCTGCTTCCATAGCCCCCTTTGCCAAATTTTGGATACATCCTTGAACACCCGCATATAAAAACAATGCATGAAATTATTACCCTCCTGCAAGCATATGTGATGTTTTGAAAAGTCCAAAGTGGGAACCCAAACTGACCCAAGAGTGTGCCTTTACTTAAGTGATTTCTATTGCACAATATTTCCAATCTGCTAATGCTCTCCTGATAGATTTAAATACTTCTCCAACTCTTATGCTGTAAAGCTGATATGCTTTGTGAATTGCTCACAATTCAAACATCATGCTATCCATTTTCCAGATTTATCCATTCAGTCTGCTACCTGCTTAATACAGAGAAACAAAATGCTGAAGCATGTCTGCCGTGTAGCACATTTAAACCTCTGAACGCTTTAGAAACACCAAATGATGCTTTGCCTACTCTGCTAGGTCCATACCAGTTCCAATGCATAGAGGAAAACTGAGGCTGAGAGGGTGAGTGACTTGTCACAGATTTTACAGAAAGTTTGTGTCAGTACCACAACTAGAACCAGAGAGCCCATGTTCACGCTGTCCCATTCTGCACTCTTAATCCGAACTGCGCTTCAAAAATATTAAAACAACTTGAGATGAATGGGGTGCTTCTGCTGGTGATACCAACTTGGGCTATCAACGGTGATAAAACACCCTTTTGGAAGAAACCAAAAGAGGCATAAAGTTCTTACCAAGCTCATTACGAGCTACCCAGATTACCACAACAATTAAAGTTATGGTGCGATTCAGAAAAGACCTCTGGTAAAAGTACTAGCTATAGGTATCTTTGCCTGTCTCTCAAATCATACATAGCACCTAACAAGCAAGCTGTGCCATCTCAAACCATTCCTTAAACGCATTTAAGATCACATAGTGTTGAAACCAACTTCCACATTGATCCCACGAATTTGAATTTAGCAAGAGTGAATGCAACAAAAGCCCCTTGGTCCTGGCTGCAGGTGAGGGTGACCTACAGCCTCCTTCCTGGTCTCTCCGTGAAGCCTCTCCTTTCACCACCCTCCACCACCATTCTCTGATCTGCAGACAACGGTGCCCAGGGTGCTTACCCACTGCACAGCACGCAAGTCTGGCACCGGAGGCTCTTTCCTCCAGGGGTCTGACCACTGGTGTATATACTACTGTCTTCTCCAAATCAGTGTTTTATCTTAACATCAGGAACAAAGTATTTAAAAACCAAACAGTTTCCAGGCATATTTATCTCACCTAATGACTTACTGTCCCCCAATGGTAGCCTAGGCAGACCTACCTCCTTCAGATATCACAACCAGTGTCTGCCTCAGTTAGTTTTCTCCAAACAACTCTCTGCTCTCTCAGGGGAGAAGGCCAATGCCTTTTTATACAGTTACAGTTCTCCGTTGTCAGCTCCGGAGGCTGGGCCCTACGTCGCAGAACCAGTCTTATACTGACTGAGGCTAGGAGCAAGAGTCTTCCGGGCTCTCAGGTTGGGGGTTGGGCAAAAGGAAATTTTACTAACATTCACTGGAAACATTCTTCTACTCCTTGGCTCATTTCAAACATCAAACACCGATCAGAGCTTTAATTAACATTAATTAGCCCTCAACAGCCATGGGAACTGGGCCTGATTTCCACTGTACAACTCAAACCAGCAGAAAGTCACTACCCCCTAACCCAACAAATCAATGGCAGAGCTGGAATTTCAGCTCCGTTGTTTCCAGCTGTAAACACAGACTAAACATGCTAGCCCAAGGATGCCCTTCCACTTACTCTTTACATTTCTTTGGAGAACTCAGCATGTTCATATCACTCTCAGATTTCCCCCTCAGTGAAAGCCTTGCTTCAAAAGCTTGGATTTAATAGTTAAAAATGTAAAATATGTGGTGTTAACCAAAACTTTAATGACAGAAAGAAGTGTATTAAAAGCTAAAAAGTAAAGATGAGCTAAACTTACAGTTGGTGATGTCTGGAGGGGCATAACTATCATTCATGAACATGCTGGTGGGTTTTGCAACTTTCAGATAAACAAAATCAGATGTGTTTTTTAAGGCAGTCACTGCTTCTTCATGAGTAACTTCTTCTAAGCAAACATTGTTCACCTAAAGATAAAGAATAAATCAACGCATCCTTAACATAACACTGTAAGCGTTCATGAGATCATCAAAGAAAGTTTCTCTCATACTTTTTGGAGCATTCCAGCACCAGTAATCTTTACTTGGTTCATGAAAAATCACAGACCTCTTAGGTTCTGCGGCACTGCAAGTGTTGTGTGGTGCTGTGTCAATAAATAGAAAAGACAAGTTCCTGCCCAAGCAGTATAACAACCTAGTTTGGAAATACAGCACCAGGGTTGACAAACAGCTCTGGAATATTGGAAAGGATGGGTATGACAAGGAGCTCCCACTAACCATCTGCAGAGATACCTCATTAGCATTTTTAAATCTCGTTTTCGCCTTAATGCCTACAGAAAGGCTTGACAAGGATTAGACCATAAATGTACTGACAACAATGTGTCCTCAACAGGAGTTGAGCCTTTGTTTCTGGCACCCCCTGTGATCTCTTGCCTTCTACTTAAATCGTCAGCTCTTTGGGGCAAGGAACCGCTTCTTGTTCTGTACTGTATCTGGCACGATGGGGCAAGGGCCCTAGACGCTATGGTAACACAAACAATAATCAAGCAAATAGTGAAAGATTCTTCAGTTATTCATGTATCCGCTTTAGACTTTGTGTATAGTTACACAGGGTACGTGTACATTGCCCGTAAATTATTGTGTTATAATTTGAGTCAGCGAATTTGTGCAAGAGGCATGCACTAGAGATAAACTGGAAACACACAACTCAAACCCAAAACTGGTTGACCAGTAGTATTCGCTTCAGATTTGGATTTGCCTGATTTGGGGGACAGTGATTAGGTCTGGTGATTCAAATCACTGCCTGAATCAATTCGGCTGAATCCGATTCGGAGACTTGGCTGCCGCCACATCTCCACACTGGACAGGCCCCATCCCCTGCCCACTGTCCCAGCCCCGGGAATGGCTGCCCTGCCCGCCCCAGCTCCCCGCTCTTTGAAAAAACAAGTCCAGCATCCATCAGCTGCTGTCAGGTGGGGGGCGATCTTGGCTGCCCCAAACTGCCCCACGCTGCGTGGGGAGCTCCATCACAAGCCACCGTCCCCCCTCTCCCCACTCTCACAGCCCCAGCTCCTGGCTCTTAAAAAAAAGCCCCCACACTCACTGGCTGTTGCCAGGCAGGGGAGCAAAGCCATGAGCCCCCAGAAGCCCTGAGGCTGTTGCAGTAGCCGGGGAGGCCAGGCTTCTTTTTTTTTTTTTTTTTTTTTATA